GGCGGGCCGTCCCGCCTGTGCCCCTTCCAGCAATTAGGAAACTCGCGGACGCGCAGCCATCCGTGTGCTGGCGGGACCTGCGCCCTCTCCAGGCTCCGAGCTCCTAGGCCCCCTGCTCGGCCCCCCAGAAGGCGAGATGTGTGCTAGGTTAGGCTCTGTCGCTGGACGGCAGTTCTCGGCCCCGGCGGTGCTGTCCCGGGCTGTAAGCAGTCCAGCTCCCCCACTCCACGGCCCGTTTTGCAGGGCAGTTCCCTGCCCACCGCCCCCTGCAGCAAATGCCCCCTCACTTCTGACTCTCCTCTCACTGGGGCTCTCTCGCCGTTTATCAGGTTTCTAATTGGCTGCTTCTAATCTGCCAGGGACCGATAAAATAAATACATGATGTTTGTTTAAAGCAAACTCTGTTGGGGCCACCAAATGGGCTCCCGCAGGGGCTACGTTGGTTCAAGTCTCCGACCCGCAGCTTGAAAATCAAGGCTTGTGCGTGTGCACGCAGGCCCAAAAGCCCAAGAGGGGAATGGAAGAGAAAGGATTGTGGCGTGTGGCACCCGCCCGGTGGCGATGCCTCACTTTCCCTCCCTGTCTCTCTCTCTCTCTCTGGTGAGTATATGCACCCTAGGGCAAAAACCTAAAACAAAACCACTTGAGGTCAGCTGGTGGCATGGCCGTGAAGACAGCTGATTCCACGTGGCTGTTGCGAGGCGTAAGGGCGATGCTTTCTCACGTTCTCTCTCTCTCTCCCCCCCTGCAGACAAGTGCACACAAAAACTAGCCCAATGTGACTACATGAAGGTTTCAGGGAACCCTGTGACAGCACGTCCTGACTTTCGCGGTCACATTCTGCTGAAGTCTGGGTTCTTTTTTTCTCTCACTGCATTTTGAAAGCTTGATCTTGCAGATAGGAGATGTGAGGGGTGGAACTCACATCTCTGTTACTAAATGCTCTCTTCCCAAAGCTTATTTGACGTAAACAATAACGTGACAAACTATTAAAAGAAAAAGAAACAATCTTCCCACCCACATCCACCAATCCATTTCTCAGTGCCTCTTTTGCGTAGGATTTATTTTTAGTCTTAATCTTCTGGGAAGGAAATCCCAATAGCACCCACCCAGGCCAGGAAGTTGTGAGGGCCGGGCACCTTCCCTGCCTCCTCTTTCCATCTGGACCTGCCACCCCTCACACGCCCCATACACCCACAAGCTCCTGCAGGGGTTGGGTCTGCCCAGCTCACCCCATCTTTGCCTGGGCCTGAGAGGACATGCACTCTGGGTGGCTTCTTCCTGGGAGATGCTCCACAGTGATCTCGGCTGATCTAAGCAGAGACTCCTGCACCAGCTGGGACTAGAAACTACAAGGGAGGCTGCTGTTCTAACCTCACGGCCGTGGGCAAAGGCTGTTTGACTTCTTCTTTTTTGTTGGAGAGGTTTTTGCTATAGGGTACGCATACTTGCCAGACAGAGAGAGGCAGAGACAGAAAGCAAGAAATCACCCCCGGGGGGATGGCCGCACCGCAATCCCTTCTCCTCCATTCTCCTCTTGGGCACATGCGCACATGCACCTGTCGTGAATTTAAGCCACCAGGTCAGGGACTCGAACCGTGGTCAACTACATGGGAGTCCAGCAACATAGCCATTATGCCAACTGCTGGTCCAAGGTTGTTTGACTTTTTAAGCTTAAGACAGAACTCACTCTAGCAGCTAGGACGCCCACACCTAGAAACAGGCAGAGCAGATACCTGCTTGTGATTTTTGAAAATGACTCCTTTTGTCCCCTTTCTTGGACTTTTCTTTGTGCTGATGTGTAGCATTCTACCATTTGAGATTCATTCCTTTAAATATACCTTTAAATATAAAATGCAAGGGCCGGGACCAGCTGATGGTGTAATGGTTACGTGGCTGGACTCCCACATAGTCGACCATGGTTCGAGTCCCAGACCCAGTGGCTTAAACTCACACCAGGCACATGTGTGCATGTGTCCAAAATCCCAAGGGGAGACTGGAGGAGAAGGGATTGTGGCGTGGCCATCCTCCTTGGGAGGTGATTTCTTGCTTTCTGTCTCTCTGTCTCTCTCTATATATCTCTGGCAAGCTCACACACCCTATAGCAAAAAATCTCTCCAAAAAACAAACAAAAATCAATACAAAAAAAGAGCCTCTATGAAGATCACACAAGAAACATTCATGAGAGTACATCAGAGTCCTGGAGCTGAAGGGAGGCTTTGAGAGAGAGAGAGGCCTGGTGAAACGGTGTGCACGGGTATCGGGAGAGTATTGTCTGGATGGGCCCCACCCCACCCAGAGTCGTCTGTCCTGACGCTGTGTCCTCAGGGTCTTGGCTCTCAAAGCCGTAGGGTTCTTCCTCTCCCACTCGTAGAAGGCTGGTGTCAAGGTATACCATGAAGGAGCCAAGCCACCCAGTACGGGGCTCCACTGCTGGGCTTGCCCTCCTCCAGGTGGTCTGGGCCAAGACAGAGAGGATTGGGTGTGGCTCCCACTTCTGCGAGAAGCTCCAGGGCGTGGAGGAGACCAACATCGAATTACTGGTGTGCAACTATGAGCCCCCGTAAGTGCTGGGGAGTCCTGGGTGGGGTGAGAGGAGGCAGAAGTGGGCAGAGCCAAGGGGAGGGCAGAGATGGGCACAGCCTAAGGAGTCATCTGGGGAGCTGTGTGGGCACCCGTGTCATCTGCTCTCACTGGCCAGAGGAGGCCACAAGGAGGCCAAGGTCGCCCAGCAAGCTGGTGGCAGACAGGCACAGACCCAGGGTTCTTCCAGAAGAGGTGTGTGTACGGGAGGTGAGACCAGGGTTGGAAGGCAGCAGCGCCACCCCCAGCATCCTCCTCGCCTCCTGCAGGGGGAACGTGAGAGGGCGAAAACCCTACGAGGAGGGGACGCCGTGCTCCCAATGTCCCTCTGGCTATAGCTGCAAGAACGCCCTGTGCGGTGAGTCAGAAGGCGGGGAAGGGCTGCAATGCCGACCTGACCTAGGACCTCCCTGAACCCCCACCCCTGGGATAGGGAGGGCCAGGTGAGACGTGCCCACCAGGGACCCTGCACGCCGCCGGCTTTTCCTCCGCGTGCGCCCACTTTGGTGCCCTGTCATTCCAAGTCGCCGGATTTCACCCTTTCCAATGGCGGGCAGAGGAGGGGGTGGAGGCTCCCCAATGCGTGACCCGAGTAGACGTGGTGGATAGAAAGAGCCGGTAGCAGGCGAGGCCGTAGGCGACCCCTTGGACAAGCCCAAAGCCGCGGTGGGTGGGGTAAGAACAGAAATCCCACTGACTAGGTCCCCGGAAAAAGTGGAAGTGCGAGTGCAGAGCCACTTGGCCAGAGAGGTGCCACGGGGCCCAGCGTGTCAGTAACAGGGAGCAGCAGTCCTCAGCAGCAAGGGGCCTGTCCGTGCACACAGTGCCCCAGCAGGACAGTGGCCGCCTCACCGTGGTTGTGGTGGGGCCGGGATGTGCCTGCTCGCGACACTAATGCCAGCCTTGTCTGTCTCATCAGAACCCACAGGCTCCCCAATGCGTGACCCGAGTAGACGTGGTGGATAGAAAGAGCCGGTAGCAGGCGAGGCCGTAGGCGACCCCTTGGACAAGCCCAAAGCCGCGGTGGGTGGGGTAAGAACAGAAATCCCACTGACTAGGTCCCCGGAAAAAGTGGAAGTGCGAGTGCAGAGCCACTTGGCCAGAGAGGTGCCACGGGGCCCAGCGTGTCAGTAACAGGGAGCAGCAGTCCTCAGCAGCAAGGGGCCTGTCCGTGCACACAGTGCCCCAGCAGGACAGTGGCCGCCTCACCGTGGTTGTGGTGGGGCCGGGATGTGCCTGCTCGCGACACTAATGCCAGCCTTGTCTGTCTCATCAGAACCCACCAGAGGCCCGGCTGAGGCCCAGGATTTTCCTTCCCTGGTAACCGAGGCCCCGTCCTCCCTGGCACCTGAAGCCTCAGACCCTAACAGAACCGTTACTCCTTCCCTAGCAACCAAGAGTCCATCCTTCTTGGTAACCAAGGTCTCAGGCTCCCTAGCAACCAATGCTTCCTCAACTGTAGCAACCAAGGCCTCAGCCTCTTTAGCAACAAAAGACCCCTTCTCCATGGCAACGGGGGCGCCACCTTCCAGAACAACCGAGGCCCCTTCCCTTTCGTCAGCCCACAGCCTGCCCGGTGTGGATGAGAGGCCAGTTACTCTCCCCAAATCCACCCGCGGCCCCACCCCACGATTGGCAGTCGAGGTCCACAGCACAAGAGTGCCCTCTATGAGCCCAGAGAGATCTCTGCACTCCAAGATGTCCCCAACAGGGACAGGGGAGCCCCTGCCCCATGCCCCAGAGGAGGCAGAGGCTGAGGCACAGGCTGAGGAGGCCAAGGTGCCTCCTAGTGAGGTCTCCGCCTCAGCGTTTCCAGCCCAGGACAAGCCAGGTGAGCTGCAGGCCACGCTGGACCACACGGGGCACACCTCCTCCAAGTCCCTGCCCAGACTCCCCAATCCCTCTGCCACCGCTAAAGCCATGGGTGGGCGTGCCCTGGCCCTGCAGTCGTCCTGGGCAGGTAAGGCCTGAAGCATGCCCTACCTTCCTCTGGCTCTAGAATGTCAGCCTCCTGCCCTCGGCGTAGGGGTGTGGCATGGCGGGGCATGCACCCCGAGTTGGAGCTTCCTCCTGGCTGCTGTCCCCGCCTTGCATGGTGGGAGGTCAGGCATAGCCGTCTCCAGGCTGAGACGAAGCCTCTCCCGTCCCGCAGGTGCAGAGGGCCCTGACAACACTGGCTTCAAGTCAGGGCTGAACTCAGGTCCTGGTCGTGTGTGGGGTCCTCTCCTGGGACTGCTGCTCCTGCCTCCCCTGCTGTTGGCTGGGATCTTCTGATGGGACACCACGCAAAGGCAAGGCCTGCTGAGGGTACCCGACTTCACGGCCACTCTGGATTGTCCGTCTCTGAGTGAGAGGCCACGCGTTCCTGGGTGGGTCCTGATCTGTGGCCCAGCAGCCCGTCGCCCCAGCTTTTGGCCAGATTCCAGGCACTCTGGTCTCCTCGGGACTCAGGAGGCTTCGGGGCCACCCCCCTGTTATGCTTAAGAGGGCCCTGCCTCTGCTGAGCACTCCCCCCAGCCAGTTGCAGGCTGAGCGGTAGTTCCGTGGCTGAGTGACCATTCTCCTCAGGCTGTCCTGTGGCCATGGGTCTGCTGTCTCAGAGAGAGGATCTTGGGCTTCCCAGGAACCCCTGGGCTCACAGTCCCCTGGCCTCTCCTCGAACCACCCTGGAGCTGTTCCCAGAAATGCCTCCCGCCTTCCCAGGGTGAAGAGGTCTGCTGTCCTCCGGCCAGCCCTCCACCTGTGCCTCCCCCTAAACAAGATGCTTCTTGGCAGAAGACACTCTGGCAGGGAGAGGCTGCGGGGACAGTGCCTCACCCTTGGCACCTTGGAGCATATGACCTGGCTGGCTGTGAGCCCGGCTGCGCCTGTGCACGGGCCCAGCCCCCCCACCCCTCCCACCCAAGTCCTGGGTCAGGTGGGGGTCCGGGTGCTCACTGCTATGCAGCCCAAGGTTCTTCCCGACCTGCGACCTGCGTGGCTAGGAGGGGACCTGAGGGCAAATGAAGGACAAGCCCCACTTGAGTGGGGTCCTGGGGAGGGGCGGCTGGGACCAGGGAGGGATGCGGCCCTGACTGCTGAATAAAGGCCTGACTGTGCATCGGAACACCAGCTCTGTGCTTGACGGGCGGGTGGCTCCCCGCCCACCTGGGGCAGCTGCTGCTCCTCTCACAGCCCTCCCAGAACACCCCACTGAGCGTCTCCTCTTACCTTGCCTTTCCTTCCGGTAACCCCCAGCCCATCTCAGGTGCCAGCAGGAAGGGGAACAGCCGAGGACGCAGGGCTGACTCCAGCCTCAGGGGTCACACAGTGTGGGGAGTGATCAAGGCATGGCGCACCACCTCTTCATGGGGTGCTGCTGCCCAGGCCCTCTGCCACCTGCCGCCAGCAGTGTAGCTCGGCCAGGGCTTTGCCAGCCCCTCAGAAGTCCTGAGAAAGGGTTCTAGTCTCCGACACTCCTCCAGGGCACAAAGCACGTTGTTCAGAAGTGCTAGAGGCCAAGCAAACACTTGTGCATGCGGGCGTGTGTGTGTGTGTGTGTGTGTCGGGAGCAAGCAGTGGGTGAGAGTGGCTTAGATGGCGGGGAGAGGCACAGCAAGTATCCTCAGGCCAAAGCAGGAGGCGAGCGGTTAACCAGGACACCGTCCAAGTCAGGCCAGGGGTGGGAGCTGACCTGTGACCACGGCGGTCACCCCTCCTTTTTCTTTCTCATAGGATTCTTCTGTCTTATTAAGATATAACTCACATGACATAAACCCACCCACTTCAAGTATACACCTCGTGGTTCTGTGTACTCACAGGGTTGTGTAACCACCACTGCAATCAGCTTTAGGAGTTTCATCATCCCCAAAGGATGCCCGATACCCTTTAGCCATCACTCTGCTCTTCCCTCCAACCCCCAGCCTAAACAACCCCCAATCTAGGAACTATCTATATGGACTCGCCTGTCCTTGACGTCTCATGGGACTTCCTGCCAAATCACAGGCCAGCTTGTGGCCCTGCTCCATTCTCCTCCATCTTCCTTTCAGGATTTTGGGCACACACCTGGCATGTATTTCTTTTCTATTTTTTTTAGAATTATCTATTGATATTATTTTTTATTTTGACCAGAGAGACACAGAAAAAGAAAGAGGGAGAAAGTGAGAAAGCAAGTCACCAGTTTCAGAACTCGAACCACGGTCAGCCATGTGGGAGTCCAGCACCCTAATAACCACGCCACCTGCCAGCCTCCCCAGTAGGTATTTCAAGTCGCAGGTCCAGAACTCGAACCACGCAGTCAGCTATGTGGGATCCAGCTGCCTTAACCCTCTCGCCCCTATAGTTTTCTTTCACTTTTGGTAAGTTTTTGTGGTTTTGTTGTATCATGAGGCACTGAGACATCTGAACAAATCAGCGTCTGGGCAGTGCTTTCTCCTCCACTTCTGTGGGTTACTAGGGCAACTCGTCAGTAGATTAAAAAAGAAAGAAAGAAAAAGAACCACTGTTGTCTTTCCGAGGCACGCGCTGGTACGACACGAACTTCCGCAGATGGACTCGTCTGGCGTCCGCACGCCATGCACAGCACCTCGGTGGCGGCAGCGCGCTGCGCCCACTTCCCCGCGGCCCCGCTCACGTGTGTGCATTTGGAGCACCTGGAGGAGTTGCACAGTCTCGGCAAGAGGAGGAAACAGCGGGAGCGCTTGGCGAGGACAGCCGACGCTGTGCAGGACAAGCCTGAACGTGTCATCGGTGCAGACCCAAGCATCGTCGATGTCCTGTAACAGGAACATCTGGTGGAACCCATGCCAGGGTCTTCGTTGGCCCTGAGATGGCCCACACTATGCTGACGATGCAGCTATCTGGCGTGGGTTGTGGTCCTGCCACGTGGGGATGTGCTGGATTTTCTGGAACAAAAAGCTAGACACTTTCTCCACAGTGGCGGCTTTTCCCTGGATCTGTTGTCCTTCCCACGTAAGACACGATGCGTCAATATAAACTGCGCCTATTTGGGTCCTGTCGTTATGAAATAACAGGTCGCAATGCTGAGTGAAGCTGGACCCAATCTGCTCCCAAATCGGCTTGTCTCCCATTCTGGAGTGTCAGCTGGCCTCGATGAGACCAGAGGCGCTGGCACTGTGGCAGCAGCGGTGGCAGCAACCCAGCGTGGTCTAGTTTTCTTTTCATTAAGAGAGAATTTTGCTACAGGTTGCAGCTGGAGAGACAGAGATAGAGAGACAGAAAGAGAGAAATCACCCCCCCCAGGGGGGTGGTCACACCACAATCCCTTCTCCTCCATTCTCTTCTAGGGATCCTGGGCACGCACACACACGCGCCCGGTGTGTTTTAAGCCCACAGGTCTGGGACACGAACTGTGGTCGACTACGTGGGAGTCCAGTGACATAGCCATTATGCTAACTCCTGGACCCTCCTCTTGAGATCTTAAGCACGCACACACACGCGCCCGGTGTGTTTTAAGCCCACAGGTCTGGGACACGAACTGTGGTCGACTACGTGGGAGTCCAGTGACATAGCCATTATGCTAACTCCTGGACCCTCCTCTTGAGATCTTAAGCACGCACACACACGTGCCTGGCATTTTTGTCACTGGGTCCAGGACTTGAACTGCAGTCAACCACACAGGAGTCCAGCAACATAACCATTACGCCATTTGCTAGTTCTCAGTTTTAATTCTTATATGTAAGTCTTTGATACTTTTTTCCCATTTGCTATAGAGAGAGCATACACTCACCAGAGAGATGGGAGGGAGGTGAGGGAGAGTGAGGATGTACGCCCTACAAGGGACATAGCCAATGCTGCAATGCCTTCTCCTCCATTTCTCCTCCTGGGATTTTGGGCACACATGCACACACGCCCAGTGTGGATCCATTTTTATTTTTGGTTGTGCAACCTCTTTTTTTGCATGTGACTGTCCAGTTGTCCCAGTTTCTATTGAAAAAATTGTTCTTTCCTCATTGAATTATCCTGGTACCCTTGTAGAAAATCAGTTGACCATACTCCCTGGAGGAAAAGGGAGAAGGGATTGTGGCATGGTCATCTCCACTGGGGAGAGTGATTTCTCACTTCCCCCCTCTCTCTTAAACTCCCTGTTTCTGGAAAGTGTGCATGCCCTATAGGAAAAACTAAAATCACTAAGGAAAAAAAAAAGAAAAGAAGAAAATCAGGTGACATAAATGTGTTTATTTCTAGAGTTTCTATCCTATCCCACTGACCTGTACTATCTACTCTTGTGCCGGCACAATCATCTGTAACTGCAGCTTTGTAGTAAGTTGTTCTTCCTCTTTTTTTTTTTAGACGTTTGCGATAGGGCACATGTGCTCAGTGGAGAGACAGAGAGAAAGTTTTCACTTTGACCCCGCAGGTGGGAAGGTCACATTCCCTTCTCTCCTCTCCTCTCAGGACTTTGAGCATGCACGCACATGTGCCTGGAGTGTTTCGAACCATGCAGTCAGCCACATGGGGCCCGTCTGCCTTAACCACTGCACCACCTAGCTGGCCCAACTCTCTTCTTTTTCAGGACTGTTTTGGCCAGAAAAGTTGAGACCTTAATGTCCTCAACCAAAGGACACTTGCACAATACCCACAACAAGCGTACCTTTAAGTTCCTGGGAGACAAGGATACAGAAAATAAAACTGGCCTGGAGTCAACTGTCACTAGGCCATTGAGAAAAACATGTTGTGATGGGCCCAGCAGCTGGCGTCATGGCTGTCGCTGGACTCCCACGTAGTCAACCGTGGTTCAAGTCCCAGACCCAGTGGCTTAAACTCATGCTGGGTGCATGTGCGTGCATGCTCAAGATCCTGAGAGGAGAATGGAGGAGAGGGGACTGTGGTGTGGCCATCCCCCCTGGGGGGTGATTTCTCATTTTCTGTTTCTCTGTCTCTCTTTTTCTGGCAAGCACATATGACCTATAGCAAAAACAAAAAACAAAACAAAACAAAAAAAACAACAAATGTGTTGTGGAAATGCAACCCAGGGTCCTTCCCTGGGGGCTGACCCAGCCCATACCTGTGGGGGAGGTATGACCCCAACCCTCACCAGCCAGGCCGCCTAGAATAAGGACAGAGTTAGCGGGAGAACACAGCTAGCTGGGCCTTAAGACACTGCTGAGCACCGTCTGCTTATGAACCCCAGTGCTGGACAGAACCCAAGGGAGGGAGGCCGGCCCCTCCCGTGTGACCATGTGGCCACCACACCAAATGACATATAGTAGAATGTGAAGCTCTGTCACCTTCAACAGTGCCGAAGCACGTCAGGGGCCGGAGGGGCACGTCCTGAAAGCACAGTCCGGGATGCTCACACACTCACTCGTCGCTGCTGTGAACTCCCCGGCCCCGCACCGGGCACACTCTGCTGATCCGGGAGGAGGCTCTACCTGCACTCCTCACTCTACCCCGCCTCCAGGCTAAGAGGTGATGCAGTCCACTGGGCGCAGCCTCACCCCCGCCGAACCCACGTCTGGACAGACACACGGCAGAGAAACTCAGCCCCATCTACTTCAGAAAACTGGCCACTGCTCTCCCAAGGTCAGTACGCGCCAGGCCCTGGGACCGACCCCGGCCCCCTCTCACCGAGACAGGGCAGAGAAAAGACTCTGCAGGTAGATTTTCAAACTCACAAAAATAAGAGACTTCCCACAAAACTCCAAATCACCACCAGTACATTTATTTGGGGAGACAGGGTCAAATCTTACCATGAACTTTTACACTGGGTAGGACGAAGACACTGATCTGCCTAACTCAGCATTTGCGACTGCACGGGCAACCAGACCCTGCACGGGGGCGTCACCACCAAACACGAGCGTCAGGGAGGGGCACGTGATCTGAGCAGCCACTGGCTTCCTGCTCGAAGGCGCCGCCTCGGATCAGAAAAGTAGTGTGGAGAAAGACGAGGCCAGAACCTGGCATTCGCGTCCTACACAGGCCTTGACAGGATGGCGGCCTCGTGAGGGGGTCACGCCCTATGTACAAAGCGGGAGAGTGCCGTTCCCAGCCGGGCTGTAGGATGAGAGCCGCGCGGAGTGAGGGGTGGGCGCCGACCCCATGAGCCTGTCCCCTTCCATCCAGCCTGGACCTCCACAAGCCATTCTCTGGCTCCTTGTGCAAGGCAGACTCAGCCAACCTGGGAAGTCGGGGGTTCTTCCCTGATCCCCCAAGTCCACCCCACCTCCTCCAGGTCTAACAGGTGACCCAGTCCACTGGAGCAGCCCCACCCCCGCCCAACCCCACGTCTGGACAGACACATGGCAGATATGGAAGCCAAAGCCCCGCTGGGCTGGAGCACGTCTAGGTGTTGCTGGGTTGGAGCTGTCTTGCAGGTGTCCTGGGATGAGCAGGCCTCACCCACGGTGGCCAGGCTGACAGCGTGTGTATTTTAGGTGATTCAGGTTACTCCAGGGCAAAGCACGATCCTGATGACACTCGGCGGAAAAGGAGGCTGGAACCACGGAAGAGTTGGCCCTGGGTGGAAGGAACAGCGGGGTCAGTAAACGGGGTGGCCATGCTTTCTGGACTCATCCAGAGGACGGCCAGAGGCAGGCCAACGAGGGTCCAGAGCTCAGAGACCCAGGAGGGAGTGGAGGGCCCAGGCTCACATCCCTGGAGGGCGAGGTCGGAATTGGCCATGCTGAGGCAGAAGGAAGTGGTTCACTTCAGGGCCCGGGGGGGCCAAGGTCCGTGGGGCTGCTGGTAGGAAACCTTCCAAAGAAGGCCCACTGCACTTCCAGCTCAGGGCCCGAGTGGCCCAGACTCGTCCAAGGCCCAGGGGGGCATGTGATGGATAGTGCAGACTGGCCAGGGGCACTGGCAGAACTGCGTCTCGCCTCCCTGCTTCTTACGTCCTCGTCTTGACCTCGAGGCCAGTCAGTGTTCTGTCCCCCACAGGCCACTGCCCTATTCCACTCGGAGGCAGACCAAGGCCAGGAACAGGCCAGGATCTGAACCTTGGCCAGAAGCCTAACTCCTGACCACTGGGCCGTGGAGCTGCAACCAGCAGGCAGTGGCCTGGCATCAAGCAGATGAGCCAAAGGCTGGCACCTGCACCAAGCTGCCCGCAGGGCTCGGCCTCCCCCAGGCTCTGCTGGCCAGGAGGACCCACAGGAGGGAGGGGCAGGCTGCCAGCGCTGGCGGCCCTGACCACCCAGAGCCAGCTGAGCTGCTCTCAGACCTGGGTTTTCACTCGTGCTACTGAGGGGAGGAGAGGTTTGGAGGCTTTGACTACTCGCTGGGCCAGAGCTCCCCTGTCCTGGTCCTGGGAGTCTCTGAAACTCAGAAAAGACCTTGTCCGATGTCTGACTTTTAAATAAAAGCGGACCACCTCAAACTCCTTCCGAAGTTAGAGGTAAAAATCTACATCCTTAAACCAAGTGCCCACATTCGTACTATCCACCCACACAGCCCCTCGGACTCCACAAGCGCATCTCTGCCCACACACCGCCGAGCTCACCAAACCTCTCCTCTGGTGAGGGGGGCATGAGCGGGAAAGGCCCTCCCTCCGGAGCCAGCTCACCTGCACGCTCAGGTACTTCCAGCAGTGAATCCAGGACTTGAACACCGGGGAGTAAGGGGGGAGCCCCGCCTGCAGCCTGCCGGGGAAGGAGAGAGGTCACCCAGGTGAAGGAGACCTCAGGAATGAATGGCGTGCAGCTGACACCTGCCCACAGCTGGAGCCAGAGACCCACCCAGGAGCCCTCCGAGTCCCAGAGGGAGCCAGGATGCTTGGCGGCCGGAGCCCCTGTGGAGGGTGTTGGGGTGGAGCAGAGTACTGGCAGGGCTCAGGTACCCCCTCACCCCCACCCCTGCCCTGGCGGGGCACACCTACCCGCAGTTGTTCACAGCCATGAGGTCGCCAACCAGAAGGAAGGGGTAGGTCAGCATGCTCACTGCGATCTGAAACCAGAGTGCCAGTGACCCCTCCACGCCCGGCAGCAGGCCGCCCAGGCCCACACCGTCCCCCCAGACCTGCCCCCAGCCACCACCTGGCCGGCCCATGGGGCAGTAGGAAGGACAGCTGGCTCCACTTACCCCCATCACAAACTTGGTGTAGCTCCGGATGGCCAGGGCCTGGCTGAACTGCGGGGACAGAAAGGAAGTGCAGGTTACCACAGCACCTCAGGACACCGACGTCAGCTCGGGCCCCCTCCCCTCCCCTTCCCTCCTCGCTCAGCCCCTCCCATGCTCGTGCACACACTGCCTCCCCTCAGGGCCCGCCAGCCGCCTCCACGGCCTTGTAGTCAGAGCAGAGACATGGCGGCAGAGGCCGGGGTCTGGACTGAAAGCAGCCCCAAGGAGCAGAGGCAGGGAGCCCAGGTGCCTGTGTCTCTGCAACCCCGCTGACAGGGCAGTGCCCAGGGCCCACCTGCTCTGCAGATGGAAACGCAGGCTGGGCACAGTCGCTGCCAGTGTGCGGACCCACCCAGCCCGGCCTGGCGCTGCACCAGGCTAACTGTCACCCCACCTCACCAAGCTCCAGACCCTTCAACCCCAACTCCTAAGTTCTACTTTGCTCGTGAGCCTGCCCTGACCTGGGAAAGGAGGCCGCCTGTCCTTCAGCTTCCTGCGGAGCGGCCATCCCAGCAGATGGAGGCTGCTGCCTGCAGGTGACTGACATGGCACAGCAGCTCCAGGCCACACGGCTGCCACCTCGCCTATGAAGCCAGTCAGCTGTGCCCTGCCGGCCACGTCCCTCCAGCTGTCCCAGCCTTGCTCTGTACGCGACAGTGGCAGCCCGCCCACCTGCAAGGCCCCGAAGAGCAGGCACATGCCAGTGCAGCTGCAGCTGGGCAGGGGGAGCTGCTGCTCTTTGCTGACGCCAAAAGGCCAGAGGGCCTGAGTCAATGGCCACTCGGTCTCCCTGGGAGCGGAAGCTCTGACATATGCCCAGACACACCCTGCCCCCAGAGTCTCACTAGGAACCTGCTCCCCACTCCTCTGCCTATCCTCCCAGCATGGCGACTGCCACTACTAGAACGTCTGGCCACCAGGACCCCCGCCCGTGACTGCCCCTAACTCACTTGGTAAGGCAGAGCCAGTGAGCTTTCTAGGTGCCCAGCTGTCTTTCTTCAAGGGCCTTGTAGGAGGAGCAGGCCCTCCTGTGCCTGTTCCCACCCACCGAGCATCTGTGCACACCAGGCCGTGTAGACCGCTGTCAACATAACGGGCTGAGCCGGCCTGCGCACCTCCTAGCCCACCTGAAGGAACTCAGGGAGGGAAGCTCCCTCAGCCTGGGACCAGGGACTCCCTGGGATTTGGTCTGTGGGTTCCAGTTGAGTGCTCTGGAGAGGCAGCTTCCTCTCTGGGTCTCGATCTCTCCGTCTATAAACGGGGCATTATTGTTGTCCCGTTCCCCTCACAACTGGCACTGTCGGGGCCCAAGGCCACGACGCTCACAGAGGGATGTGGGACGCAGAGTACAGCAGAGGTCAGGGACAGCGGGTCGGCTGCTACACCTCCGACTTCCGAGTCCCGGGAGGGTCGCGGCCTTGGCACTGCCTCCCCCGAGCTGGGGTCTGTTTCGACCACCGCCCCAGCTTCCTCCCAGGGGTGGTACTAATCACCTTTCAAAGCCACCCCCAGACACAGCTAACTCTCGCCCTCGGGGCCCGGAGAGCAGAATCCCCGAGGCCTCGCATCTGTCCCAGACCCAGGCTATCAGCTGTACACGGAAAGAAGGACAAGTCCTTGTTCCAACCAACCTGGGAACCTGGATTCTGGTCGTTTCCCAGCCCCCCTGGGGTGTCACTCACGCTGTCATCCACCAGGTAGGCATTGATGAAGTGGGCCAGCAGGTTACAGCCCCACAAGAATACCACATCGCCCAGGAGGTGAGGGATTAAGCCGCTAAAAAACAAGGTGAGCAGAGATGAGCAGGGGAGGACGGGGGCAGTCCTGGGGGCGCCACACCCAGGAAGCAGCCGGATGTTCCAAGCTTAAACATCAGCATACCCGAGGCGCAGCCTCAGGAAGGGCTCCTGCCAGGCCTCAGGCCCTCTCCCCGGGGCGGTGCTCTGTACCACCTGATCCCACACGCCAGCTAAGGTGCTCACAAGCAGTTTGCAAACCACAGAGGCTGGGCACCAAGATGCGAGTGTTCCAAAGCCGGGATTTGCGAATTCAGATTACAAAAGGGTGCCTACATGTCGCTGGTTTTCTCCTGGCCTCTTACCAATTCAGCTGTCACAGAACACTGCTCAATATGTCTGTTCTCTTCTCCCCTGGAATGTTCCATGGAAGATATTCCATGCAAGCGTTTGGAAGGAGGGCGAGCTTTTAAAGGTTCTATAGGCTGGTGTGGAAGGTTCCCCGGGCAGTGCTGAGGCCGAAAAGTCAGGCCGTGGGTCTCGTGTGCTTTTTTTCCCCACGTGTTTGTTTTTTGCCTCTTGAGATATGGAGTACCTCGGGAGGCTGGCCAGAGAAGAATCGCTCTCTAGAGAGAGGAAGCAGCATTCTTACTTTTTAACTTCTAAAAAATGTGTAAAATATCTTAAAAGTTCAGAAGGACGTATTAGCACATGTCCATACTGAGAGAGATTAACGGACCGCTAGAGTGCAACTGGCAGGCCCGCTGCGCCCAGCCTATGCTGGACTGACTGCGTGCACACCCCAGGGCATGCTGCAACACATTTGTGTCATCAGCTGTCCCAAAATCAGGTGGGGAGAAAGAACCCAAAGGGCAGGCCCCTGCCATGTGTGAATCCTATCGACAGAGGAGAGGTGAAAGCCACCATGTGAAAATGCCAGGGGGAATGCGTGGTGTTTCCAGCTCTGACGTGCCAGGCTCACGGGCCCACGTTCATGCGCGTATACTCACACACAGGTGTGTGTGCGTGAGGGTATCCTGTGCCTACAGATCAGGGTTTCTCCACCGTGGCCCTGGCAACATTCTGGGCTAAAGAAATCTTTGTTGTGAGGACGTGTCCTCTGTACTACAGGGTGGCTGGCAGCACCCCTGACCGCACCCCAGATACCAGGTGTGACAACCAGAGGGTGCCTCCAGACACTGCCACGTCCCCACACAGACGAGACCCACACGTATACACACACGCACGCACGTGCATATGCCCATTGTGTGTGTACCCACACACGCAGTAGGTCCTGGGTTAAAAGAGGATCACAAAACATGTGGCAGGCTGGAAAGCACACTATAAAGGCCTGTGAACGTGAGGCCCCGTTGCGGTACACCCTGCCATGAAAGCATGCACGCCACTGCCTAGACCCGGCAGGTACCTGCCGAGTCTGGCCTCACGCGCTAACCGTGTCTGAGCACGGTCTGTTCTGAATGAGCTTTCTTCACGGGTACGGCAAGCTGACGTGAGGCAACAGAACGCAGGGCTCTGTGGCTGGCGGGAGACCGCATGCCCCGCCAAGCCCCAGGGTCTGGCCTACAGCCTCGCTGCACACACACACACAGGCCCGGGAGGCCAGATTTTTCAGCTTCTCCAGAGAAACCAAGAATGCAGATTTTTTTGTGAACTAAGTTAACTGTGAACAGCTACCTGTCAGAAATACTCCGACAGACAGAACCGGTGGGTGAAGTCGCCAGTGAGCTGCGAGAGCTCAGCCCGCGGTCCTGGTCCCAAGTTTTCAGTCGTTTCTTAGCAGTGAGGCCGGAGATTAGCACTGCCCGGGCCCATGAAGACCAGCCCTCTGCTGTCCGCCAGGCTGGAGCCAATGGCCAGTCCCGCTGGGGCTGGCCAGTTCCCCTCCCCAGCATAGTGAAAAAGCAGCTCCATTTTTTTTTTTTTTTTTTTGAGAGGTTTTTGCTATAGGGCACGTGTGCTTGCCAGACAGAGGGAGACAGAGAGACAGAAAGCAAGAAATCACCCCCCAGGGGGGATGGCCACACCGCAATCCCTTCTCCTCATTCTCTTCTTGGGATCTTGGACATGCACGCACACACGCCCAGCGTGAGTTTTAAGTCACCGGGTCCAGGACTCGAACCGCGGTCGACTACATGGGAGTTCAGTGACATAGCCGTTACGCTAACTGCTGATCCCAGTAGCTCCATTTTTATGTGGGCTGTGGCCTGCAAGGGCCGGGCAGCTCTGGCCCCATGGCCTGTCGTGCAGCTGCACTATGGAGCTCCTTGGATCTGCAGTCCCTCAGGCTGGCAGAGCCCTGTGGTTAGTCTGTAGCCAGCAGCTGTGGCCTGAGAGGCTGTGGACACGCCTGTTAGGAGAGCCAGGCCAGTGGTGGTTATGGGGTGCATGAACTCACGTACACGAAGAATCCCAGCAGCCCCTCTTCTTTGAAAATCTTCCCAATGGAGCTCAGCACGCCGCTGTGAAGAAGGCAAGACAGGGATACAAGGTCACCGGGCCACACGGCCACCAAGCAGAGCCCACCAGCCCTGCTCAGAAGGGAGGGAAGGGGAGATTCTTTGATCAGGAAGAACTCACGTGGAAAAGAACAGAAAGCTCTTGCTTGAGGTGAGCACTGTATACGGTTCGGGGAGACCAGGGAAACCCAACAACCCCCGGGGGCAGGAGACCGAGCAGTCCTCTGCTGAAGCCGTGGGGTCTGGACTCTAGCAGAGTGCCCCTGCAAGGGCTGCGCTGCCGAGACCACGGGCCCTTCTCCTGCCTGGCTCCAGAGCTTCTCTCTGGCTGAACAACCTTCCCACAGAAGAGCCTGTGCATCCGCTCAACATGTATGCTCGACGGAGGACAGCAGAGGAGTGGTGGGCAGAGGAGGACCGGGCCCTGCAGCAGGGGGCCCTGGAATCCACTAGGGAAAGGAATCTGGCCGCCACGGCTGGGAGCCTAGGGACCTGTGACTGGCCACAGCAGAACGTGAGAGGTCAGAGGACATACCGGAGGTGTGAATGCAAAGCAGGTGCAATAACCACCTCTGTGACCCATGGCTAGAGACAGCACCCAGCCTGTCCTGTCCCGCCAGAGGCTCTGTGAAACCACAGTGAAACGGAAGGCGGAAGCTCACAGAGCAGGGTGCCTGCCAGGCCCCAGCGTTCTCCCCACAGTGGCTCGGCCCATTGGCGTTCTGGCCCCACCTAGCAACCTTGCATTTCAGTCTAGGGGAACAGGCCAATTTCCCTAAAAGGGAAAAAGTGAACCCCCAAAAGTACCACAGCAGTCAAGCTTCCTGGGGTGGTGGCCCCACAGGAGGGCTAGAGAAAACAACGGACCCCGGGAAACAGGAATCTAAGAGAGCAAAGGTAATGAGGCATCCTTCCACCACGGGCCTCTCGGACCCGCCTCCTGTCCTGCCCTGAGCCTGAGGGGGGCAGGAAGGACCCGGTGCCTTCGGACGGACGGTGCCTCACATGCCTCAGCACCTCCTGGGCCGCCTGCGGCAGGTCTCAGCCAGGATGTGGCCCATAATTGAAGGTGCGCCTGCGTCCCAGGGCGGACGGCTTCTCCGCACAGGA